CCACCATGCTCAAAAGTCTGACAAGCAATGCTCCACCATGCTCAAAAAAGCTGCTTTTCCTTTTCTACAGCACCCAAAGAATGATCTTGCTGCTGTGTCAATATGCAGGAAATGTATTGCGCCCAAACCTGCCCGAACCCACCACTGTAGCATCTGCAACAGGTGAGCCATCATTGTGTATATTGAAGTGTGTCTGTATTTCATTTCTTTCATTCTTCCCTGCCACCTTTGCTTTTTTTTGAGTCATCCTTGTTATTTGAGAACCTTGGAAAAGCTCAGCTCTTGCCCTCTTTTGCTACAAGGCATACGGTGACCCCATATGAGGTTCTGCAAGTTTCATTTCTTGCTGATTCCTCTCAAATTATGAAAATTATTGATTAGGTTTGCTTCTGCAAATCTGTGAACATGAAATATTAGCCATACAACTCTTGTCTAGCAGAAGTTCTTAAGTATCTGTTAGTCTTCATTCTGATTGCCAGCTTCCCTTTAGTATATTCCTGCTTGTTATATTTTAACCAGCTGCTCATTTAGTTGACTTAGAATAACATGTGAGCACCAATGCATGTATTTATATGGTGCAAAGTTTCTCTGAGGGAGAAGTGAAGTGTTTATGGTGGCATTTTTAATTGCCTCAACAGTAGGACTGACTAGGTTATGCTGTGGGCTTTTGTTCTGTTATGCATGAGTACAAGTCTAATTTTAGAAGAGTATTTGTAGCTCAGGGTTGAATTGTGGAGTCCTGAGTGCTCACTGAGCTTGGGTGTTTTCTTGCAAACGTTTCATTATCCAACTAGGTAACATCATCAGCGCAGTCTAATGTTCCCTATATTGTGTTTCAGCTGCATTATATAAATTTTGGATAATTTTTTTCCAAAGTGAAATTTGTTCTGATACATAAAGCAGGATTGTTTGTAAGATAAAAAGATTACACAAATCTGATAGATTCCTATATATGGATCTTGCATAAATTCTGTTACTGTTGGGATTAAAAATAGATTCTAGATTTAAATCTAAATCTATTTCTCTTCCTCTTGGTGAGTTTGAATTTTTTTGCACTCTTCAGCAATTAAAAATATTTAATTTCATCACCTAAAGCAATAACAACCAAACATTTGCTTTCAGTTTTTAAAAATGAAAGTTAGCCTTTTCAAACAGCTAACACTGTATATTTTATTTGTGATTATGCATCTATAGAGTACACACAGTCTTATCTTTGGGCACACCAACTTAATGTTAGCTTTTGTGATATGAATATTAATAATTATAAAGTATTCAATAAAATCAATACATTCTTTGTTATTAAACATGCCAGCTGCACAGATTTCCAGTTTGCTTCTGGATGCAATTTTAAGGTGCTGGTTGTTATCTATAAAGTCCGCATAGCATAGGGATGGGTTACTTGAACAACTGGCTGTGTTCTATCACTGCCTGGTTAGTTCAGTCCTGCAGTTGGTGTGTTCCTAGTTTCTTTGAGATCGTTTCTCAGAACCGCAGAAGGACGACTTTTCCATAGCAACTGCATTCTGGAAGAGGTCCCCCACCCCCAAGATTTGGATGACCCAATTCTGCCGTTTAGAAGAGCCATGAATATTTGGTTCTTTACCCTAGCAGAGTGAGACCTCTCACCATCACACTTGCCATTTTTTATTACTTTCATTTTCTTGATTTTGCTGTAATTTCCTTGTTACGAGTCAATCAAAGTTATTGAGAGTAGGGTAGCATAAAGCTTAATAAATTATTTTTATTCCCAAGACTGAGAAATAATGTTCAGGATCCATTAAATCTCTACTAAAGGGGTAATATGCAACTCAGCCTCTGGTTTATTTTGTTTTTCACCTCTATGCTTGAACTATTCATTTGTTAAATAGTTATGCTGCATATCAACAACCCTTCTGTAATTAAAATTAATGCTGATTCCCTCCCACAGGTGTGTGTTGAAGATGGACCATCACTGCCGTATCCTTTTGCAGGTCTGTAATAGGACTAAGCATAAAGGATCAGGTTCAGGTGGATTGTTTGTTGAGGAAATTTAAGGGATTCTGTTCACATAAACAGAATGGAATATCTTGAAAACAATTCTCCACAGCAAGTGATTTATGACATGCATCAGGAAAAAGTCTGACACCTCTTTTTAACACAAGTGGTTCACATTGAAAGTCCAAAAGAATGCTGTGGAAATTAGGTGTTTATAGGCTGGGCTGTTGTACATGGGAAAAGGTTGGCTTTCTCCCTGGAGTTAAAGATCTTTAACCTGAAGAGACAGCATGGCTTAACAACTGTGTGGGACACTACAATCATCGCTATTTCTTCTCCTTCATGCTTTTCATGACCATGGGCTGCATCTACAGCAGTATCAGTGGCTGGGACATGTTCTGGGAAGCTTATGCTGCCATTGAGGTGAGCACAGGAGGCAACCTGTTTTCTTCAGGGGAAAAGGCCTTGAAACTTGCAGAGGTGCTGCCCTATGCAGCAGGGGTGCATATAGGCCAAGAATTGAATGAGGGTAACTGGTGGCCTTTTTTCCATCCGATAGAAAATGAAACTACTTGACAAGGAGAAACTGCACGTGACAGCCAATCAGGTGGGGTACTGCTCATCAGCTGTTCAAATCAAGGACAGTCGGAAGTGATTGTCACAATTCACTTTTAATTTCCTGGGCACAGACGCTTTCCATTCTTCCTCACAAGGGAGCTATGGAACACCATTCAACTGGCATTTTGTCCCTATATATGAAGGAGACATTTCCCAAACCAGATGTTTTGTCTGCTTTTGAAAGATAAATGCTAATGGGGAGTAAGGAAAATGTGTCCTGGGTCCCAGTGCTCTGCCCATCTCTCTCATGACCATAGTCTTTGTGTCTTAAAAATGTACCAGGCTTGCTTGCTGTGCTTTCCATTTCATTTGTTCGTCCTAGAAAGCCCTTGGCAGCTTCTGGTTTGGGCCACTGCTTTTTCTTCCCTGCATTCTCACTTGCAATTGTGGCAACATTTGCTCTTACTTACAGACTTACTCTCAGACACCACCACCCATCTTTTCCTTCCGCCAGCGAGCTTTCCACAAGAGCATAGTGTACGCCTGGGTCCTCTGCAGGTAACTGATCCAGTTCTTTGATGGAAAGTGTTGGGAGGGAAACTACTTCAGGAAACTTTCAGGGTGCTGCCAAGTGAATCTTGGGAGTATCCCAGTTTGCATGGTGCTCCACCAACTCATTTTTACAAGTATTCTTCTCAGCAGAGTTTGACATCCATGTTCTTTAAACTGTTCCTCTCAGTTCAGTAGCCGTGGCATTGGGTGCCCTCATGCTCTGGCACTCAGCCCTCATCACCCGTGGCGAGACCAGCATCGAAAGACACATCAATCACAAAGAAAAAAAGAGGCTACAGAAAAAGGGCAAGGTAAGAGCCACAAGGGAGAAAGAAAAAGGGGGGACAGACCCGCAGCTACTAACAAAAAGTTCTTTCTAGCATGCCTCTAAAAAACCTGTAAATGTTTTAGATTTGCCGGTTTCACTTTTCTGCCTTTTAGAAACACGAGGCACTTTTTACACTGCAGTTCATCATAGTTTTAAATTTTATGCTACTTTATTTGGGTTATTTTAATGTGTTTAGAATTCTATATACACACTATCATCTAGTAAAGGATTTAACTAATTTTTTTCTCAGTTGATTGTTTCTGTAGTTTTTGATGGTCTCTGTATCACAGAGGTCTATGTATCACAGATAAACTATAGGCCTTTCTTTACTAGCAATTTAGAATTTATCAAGTAAAGCTCAGATCAAGATACAGGAAATTTTGAGGACAAAAAGTTCTTTCAAGAGCATTTCTTTTACTATGATTGACACTTCTAGCACAAAAGTGCAATGCCAATTACCATGAGCTTTCTTTATTGTACATTTTAAAATTGCCTTGTATGGAGTTTGGTTGTTGTTAAATATCTGAAGTCCTTGCCAATCACAAATACATACACATCTTTTCTCCTCTATAGAGGAAGAATACTTGAGTTAGAATCAAAATAATTGAATAGCGTTTCATTCCCCTTTTCTCTTGGCTCCAGATATTTCGAAATCCATACAGCTTTGGTCCACTGGGCAACTGGAAGGTTTTCCTGGGTGTCGAAAGACGGAGGTAATAGATGTGAATGTACTACATATATTAGAATAGGATGGATGTTGCAATTGATGAAATTAACTATCATAACTGGAATTAGACTCATAATACAGTCATATTCCAAGTACCTGGCAATTAGAAAATGCTAACAGAAGCAATATTAAAGCAGACTTCCACGTCTTCCTGCACTACAGGTAGTTCTTGATTTACAACCATAATTGGGACCAAAATTTTGATCAAAAGTCAAGGTGCCACATTACCGATGTTATAACTATTTTTATGATGGTCAAGCAAGTCACAACATTCTTTAAGTAAACCATGTGGTCATTAATTGTGAACCCATTTTATGTATTGGGTGTTTTTTTGCCAGAAAATGGGGGAAGAGTTGCTAACACGATCACATGATATGGGATGCTGCAACCCAGTGTAAATGTGAACTGGTCACCAAGCAACCAAAATGTGATCATGTGACCACAAGGGTGGGATGGCAACCATAACTTCAAGAATAGATCATGAGTACTGTAATTTTTGAATGTATTGTAACCTCAAACTGTCATTTAAGTGACCGGTCATAAATTGAGGAGTACTTGTACACATTTCTTACTGAAGCCCTGCTCTTTTTCCCAGACACTGGATCACTCGAGTTCTACTACCTTCCCCACATCCCCCTTATGGATCTGGCTTGAGTTGGGAAACTCCTCCTTGTGTTGCTCAACAGAAGAGGCCTCTTTTGACAATTTGAATTGGATGAAGAACTAATTGTCCCAGCAGGTGGAAGACTTGAAACCACAGGCTTCTTTCACTGGGAAGCATAACAGAAGACACGGTCCCTAAACTGGCAGACTAACATCACAATGGCATTATCTGCAGTGAACTGCTCATCCCACAGGAGACTGGAGAACCTCCAGCTGCAGTCTGGGATCTATTGCCTGTGTCTGTTTTGTTTTGCACATAGTCCAATGGGGCTGGAGCAAACTATTGAGAAGGGGCAAAGTAGCTCTTTCCCTAACTCAAGGAAGTTAACTGGCATATTAGGTCTTGTTGCTCTTCCTGTAAGGACTGATTTTTTTTTACCATAAAAATAAATATATATAAACAATCATCTCCTCTTTAGTGGGAAAGGAGCAGTGAAAAGATTTAAATACAAAAACTGTTGATTCATAACTAACAAGAGTAACTATTTTTTTAAAAAAAATAGTAATTCTTTACTTTCAATACTGATTTCTGATTCAATGGTTATTTCAAGCCAACAAGCAACATTGATACTAAGGAACATGTCCATTATCAATATCTATCCAGGCTATATTCAACAAGTTGTTTTTCCTGTCAATGGGACAAATTAATGTTTCAACAGCTACAATTCAGCTGCAGCTCTAACATGTGTGATATGTTTCTATAACACGCGTAACAAGGTTATTTTAAGAGGGAGGAGTCTAGAGTTATCCCTTTCCCCAACAGGCAGAAATCTGCATTGGGTCTCACCTGATTAAACCTTCACTAATTTAGTACAGCAATAATCAGAACATGGCACTATTGGCTAGTATCCCAACTCTTTTTGTAGCAACAATTACACACCCCCGTTAGCCAGAATGGTCTTGCATTTCTCCAGCTATTTATCAATAAAGCACCAGAAAAGCTGTTATGTAGAGTATTAAAACCAAATAGTTGAGCATTTAAGACTGGAGCCCCACAGTTTATTAATTGTTCTATGTTCAATGAACAGAACATCCAAAAATTATTTTATGTAAAAAAAAAAAAAGTTGAAATGGTGTCGTCTTTTAAACAGAATTTTTTAGCAGTCCTTCCCAGCTTTATATTCCAGCAACTTTGACTCTTGTGAAGTGCAGCCTTTTCCTAATATTTACAATAGTATACAATATCATGATCACTGTGCAGTGATCTATTCTTACCCACTTTCTGTTGCAATTCTGCTATATTTGTTAATGAGATGTCCTTCGACAGTACTAAATCAAGGAAACCTGTTTCTTTAGTGTCTTTTAAGCAGGGCAGTATCCCAGTGTTAAGGCTTTTCAAAATTAGTCTGAATAGGAAATGCTTCATAAAAATCTAGGTGGAATACTATATGCAGGTGGAATACTAGGTGGAATACTTTATAAACAGCACTAATAAAGAATATAAGGGATGAGATGTTGCCAATTTTACATCTAAATAGTTTCATCCCCTAAACTAGCTTGGAACTGTTCAAATCAGCATGGTGGATATTATACTCAACACTTCCCTTACCATCCTCTCTGCTTCATTTCAATTATTTCAGGAAATTTTTATTAAAATAAATGGGAGACTAGCTTACAGCAAAGAACCAGCCTTCACCATTTTTATTTCCAATATCATTTTTCAGCTCTAAAGGTATTTTTAAAAATGAGGAGTAGTTTCAGGCCAGCACTTTTGTTTCCTGAAGTATCCAACTTACATCCCACCCCCAAAGATAAGCAGGGACAGCAAGTGGCAACCTATAGTTGGCAAATTGGTGTTTTATAGAATACCACATTCCTGTTGTCAACCATATAACATACTCTCAAGCAACTCTAAATGAGCCTTAACTCTGCTTTCAGCAGTTTATATTTTGCTCAAACACAGCTACCCAAGATAGATAAACAACTGTCTAAGTAACCCTTTCCATAGTTCTTGCCATTTGTATTTAGAATAATTCTGAATTTTATAGTTATCCCAAATTGTAATAATTTATTTTGTTTATGACTACATGTGTTTTATGTGTGCAAAATCACTATAAATGAAAATTGTTTGAATTCCTCTAATAGATAATTAGCTATGGTTTATAGTGGTTAATTTTTATACCACTAAATGAGGAATATAAGAATGTAGTACTCCAGCAACATGAATAATAGCAGAACTGAAGTCACTATGCTCAGTTCAATGTCTTTCTCTTAAGAGGCATCTTCTCCAGAAGCTTTCAACAAATGGGTTATTTATTCTTCTAACCCCATCTATTGCACACAGGAGATTCTGCTACCTCTATGCCATACTGCACTGCAGTAAAAAGTGAGGCTTGAGGGTTGCATCCACTGTGGTTAGGATTCCAGCAGCCTATAAAAAAGGCAATCCACTCCTAAAAAGGAAGGAAACGCCTCCATTTTTGTCCAAAGCTTTGCTGAACTGCAAGAAAAATGGTCCAAGGCAAACAGCACAAAAGCTTGTCAGTCAGGATTCAGAGAGTAACGTTTCACCTGCCAGGTGTCCCAAGCAAAAACCTGTAAAGTATAGACCACAGATTTCGATGAGAAGAGGAAAGGATACAGACTGCAAATCATGCTTCCCAAAGCTTATTATCAAAGTCAAATTATTCAGGGCTATTTTAGCATTGTACGACTAGTTTCATTACAGAGGCTTTTTAAATAGCTGATATCAAAGAGGTCTAGTTGATCAGGGCTGCTATTAAAAAGGAAAGAAACAGAACCGAGGAACAATGTAAACCTTACCATTCTCCTCGTGCTATGACAGCTTCTTTACGTACAAGGCGCTTCTTGTCATCTAAAGGCTTGGCCAATGCTCGAATGACTTTTGGCTTGAATGGGATCACCTGTCAAGAATTGGAAAGCCCCATTTTAATGAGGACTCAACTAAAGCCCCGTTTATAAACTAACGAGGGAGATGAACTGCCAAATTACCAGCCACAAATGCTTTCACCACTTACCACTGGGGTAGGTAAGGAGGCAAGTGCATGGAGGCACTGAAGGGCAGCAATACGGATTGCCTGCAACACATAAAAAGGCATACAATTAAGTTTCGAAGCCTCTTCCAGATAGAAAAGGACAAAATAAACCGAGGAAGGAAATACTACCCTACTCACCATGGCAGAATTGTCTGTTAGGTTAAGAAACTTGCCCACAAGTGTGTCGATGTGGAGATGCATAACATGAGGTGCATCAAGTAGCAATGGCTGTATGCAATGCAAAGTTGAAAGCTGCACCACATGGTCAGAACATGACAGAGACTCTAGTAACAGAGGCAGCAACTGTGAGAATGGATGAAGGAGAGAAGGAAAGGGTCACATTTCCTTTACTATTATACACTTGGATTTAAGGAACCCACAACAGGTAAAGAGAACCTTGGCCATCGTTTTACACTCACTGTAGGCAGCTCTGTCACTAGCACTGGCTTGGGCAAGTGATTTAATATGTGAGACAGGCCTTTCAGGTAATTTGTTTTCACATCTAGGAGGAAAAATGCAGTCCAGTTAAGATTTTTCTACAAAAATATCATCACAACATTCATTTGCATCAGATTCCAACAGCTACAGACAGAGGCCCACTTGTTGGCAGTAAAAAAACACATCATTCTTCTATTTCTCAATTCTTTCTCTCATGGAGCTGGCCAATTAAGGCTGCAAATTCTCCTGTCTGCCCCTCAAGCAATAACAGAAAGCTCAAACCTTGCAAGAAATAAAGCAGGAAAGAGCATAAAGTTCCTTTTCTCCTATGGAGAGAGTATACTGCCTAGGAAATGTTTTTAAGAAAAACACAAGATTTCTTACCAGGAGTGGATGTGTGGAAATTTTGCACCAACCGTGGCACACAATCTGTGAAGAAACGCTGGCGGAACATGAGACGCACCTCAGCATGACAGCTCTTGCCCAATACATCAGTAGAATCAGCCATGAGCAAGGCAAAGCCATCACCCACTGCAGGGCCAAGAACGGTGTCCCCCAAAAGCTGGAGTAGCTGTAGAGCAAACAACAGCAGGACATGTTTAAGAAAGAGGTCAAGGTATTAGGTCTTTATGAGAATCCCAGCTTTTCTCTAGAGCTCACCTTGTCGGTCAGCTGTGTGATCAATGGGTGATAGCGTAGCAACAACGCTTTACTCACCTGCAAGGACAAAAAGATACAATCAACTCTGAAACTAGCATGGAGGAAGCATGAGTATGCATACAACATTATGCAAACTTACCCACAACAGCAGTGTAAGGGCCTGGTATTGATAGGGACCTTCATTTAAGCCTCGTTCCAGCGTTTTTATGGCCGTTTCCAAGAGCTGATCTAAGTGTGTCCCTGAAAACAGCAGAAACAGCTGTTACACCTTTGTTACGTTTTCTAACAGTTAAACTATGTAATATGTAGCACAACAGGGTTTGGGGTTTTTAGTTTTAATAGTTTTAGGGTTTCAGTAGCATGAGAGTATTACCCTAATTCTATGGCTTTCGTTTATTACCTTCTGGGTATTTGTTGATCAATCCTGCAAAGCATTTGGCAGCGGCAGTAGCAGTGAATGGACAGTCACAGGAACAGCTAAGAGCTAGTAGCTGATGCAACAACCGATCCTGCTGAGGAATTGCCACCTGCAAGGAAAGCAGACATTGCAGAAGGTGACAGGAAACTTTCCACTGGCACCTCACCTTGGCATCGCATAGTGCAGATCTAGTCTCAAGTAAATTTCCAAATGTTCCTGACCTACGATGTCCACGGTCCTCACCACCAGCAATGGTTAGAATGGTGGAAGTTGATGTGCGAATGTTTGAAAGGCCGCAAGTTATCCCACCCCATTCTCTAAAAACCCCACTGAAAATTCTCCCCAGGACTCACTGTTCTTGGCAGTGAACATACGAAGGCCATAAGGAGAGCAACCAGTCTTCTTGGGGCTGCCGCTGGACATGGCCCATCCTGTAGAAAAGACGTTGTTTTTACTATGCGTGTTATCCAGAAATGTCTAAGAATGCTTTTCCAAACACCATTTTGGTGTAGTGCTTAAGGTGCTGGACCAGAAACCAGGAAATCATGAGTTCTAGTCTTCCCTTAGGCCAGGGGTGTCCCAACCTTGGCAACTTTAAGACTTGTGGACTTCAACTCCCAGAATTCCTCAGCCAGCTTTGCTGGTTGAGGAATTCTGGGAGTTGAAGTCCACAAGTCTTAAAGTTGCCAAGGTTGGACACCCCTGCCTTAGGCACAGGAGCTGGCTGGTGATTCTGGGACTGTCACTCACTGTCAGCTCGTTTCAAGGAAATGTGATATGGGGAAAATAGAAGGAGGAAGCCTTAGGAACACCACCTTGAATTGCATGAAATAAATAGCTGGCACAGATTAGGCTCAAATACCTGAAAGGGATGAAAAGGGCTGGGATAGTTGTTTTCGGGCAGGAAGGAAAGTTCTCCATCCAGGAAGAGAGGTACCACTTTGGACACACTCTGGGCAGCCAATCTGCCAACAAT